GGAACGATTTTGTGTACGGACGTGAGGCATCGGTTCATACGGGACGATTCAGGAAACGGCTTTCTTTCCCTTCTTCCAGGCGTTTCTTTATTTTAACAGGCTCTCGGAGATTCTCTCTGAGCGTAACTCGAGGACTTTCGTTCTCTCGATTGCCTGTTAACCGTGTATGTCAAGCCACGTGTTTCGTCTTGACGCAATGAGACAAGACTCTGAATAATAGTACCGGACGGCTATGAAATTTACCGATACATCGATTCATCTTGAGAAGAACGGTGAATCGATCGTTGACTATCTAGTAAACGTCTCGCGAGAGCCTTAACGAGAACAGAAGCTTTCCCGATAATGACGGATGATTACCAATAAGGACTCGCCGTGCATATCTCATTTCGATTCATCGCGCAACCTTTTGCCGCCGTTTCGATGGCCTTTTTTCTCGTAAATCGGCCAGGTATCTACTAATTGGCAATCGGATCGACCTTGACGAACCATGGAAAGAGGAAGGCGAGAAGGACAGTTAGACAAGCACCAATTTACGATACGCTTTTCACGCGTCTTCGTTCGCGAATCGTCCTCGACCAGAAAAGAAAACGAGGAATAGACTACCAAAAGGACCTTCGTTAACGCGCAATGTCGCCGCGGAAGTTATGAAAATCGATACATAGACGATCTAGAGACTAATTGCATCCGGGATAATTAAGATGTTTGAAAGCGTTTACCATGGCACGGTCCGTGCATCCTGAATACATATTATGAATAGCTGTCGAGACAATTACTTTGTAATTTCCATTCCACATAAATCGTCGTCTACGCGATTAAGCGGAATCGCTGGAAATTCGCCAGAATACAAATGAAACGTGTAAACATATTAGACGCGCTCGATCGATTTCGGACCATTTCACATCGTTCTTCTTTAGCGTCTTTTACTCAACAAGGTTTCGGATTATTCCTGCCATGCACAATTGCACACGGTGTCTTCGTTGTTACAAGCTATTTAAATTTCACAATTAATCGCGTACAAAATGAGAATTGGACTATAACTTATCGTTAAACTGTTAATCGTTAACGAGACGGTTAACGTTTCGCACTTCGAATTTTAAAAATTTTAAGTCCCGAGTAAAACACGATCCAAGTTTGTTATTCAAGATTTGAGAGAGTCTCGTCCAAGACTTTGCAGGCACGGTTTACAACGTAAACATTGTCCACGACGCGATTAACTTAACTCGTAAACGAAACTTTCTTTTTTCCCCGTCTAACAAGCAGTTTGACACGCGTCGCGAAAATTGTAATTCTGCCTGGTTCGAATCTCTTTTTCTTTCCCGCGTAAACAATGAATCGACGATGATCGCGCGAAAGTGATTTGGTCAGAGAAATAAGATTTATCGTTAACGATGTTCATTGATCGTTCCCGTAGCCTCTGGCGTCGCATCGATCGTGCGGTCCGAATTCTCGTCCGATCGTCGATCGAACCTGTACAAGCTATAAATAACAGAGCCGAGAACATACGTATACGTTGATTTCATAATGCTCGGATAATTCTGTTAGCAAATTATTTACGCGTTTAGATGTTGGCGACGCGTGATGATCGCATCGCGTCTTCCACCAAATTCAAAGGAACCTCGTCTGTGAACGATCGCGACTCGAACCTTCTCTAGGTCGACTGGAAACTATCGTCTCTGGTTCATTTGCATTTACAATGTAAATACAATGCCCGCCAGAACGACTGAAATTTCGACATTGCGCAAGGTTTTAGTCCCAACACGCATACCAGTGAATTATATTTGAAATTCTACCATTTTCCTTGCTCGTTCATGTATTTTATTTTTCTATTATGAATTAGGATAAGCGATTATTTCACTTTTTTAAGTGAAACTGACATTAAAAACGAATGATTGGTTCGTGGATTAACGGGAAAAGGGCAGAATTTGTTAGAAAAATGTCATAGTGCTTCGTAACATGGAACGAAAGTTTGACACGCATCGCTTAACCTAACGAAATGTTTCCTTAATAAACCCGAAAGTCGCGTAAGAGTGAATTACATAATTACATCGTCGGCTGTGGTGGTTTAACATTTCGGTGTCATCATCGGTTAGTCATCAATTTTTGCTGTTACCAACGAACGTGGAAACTATACGTGTAATGGAAATAATTTTTAAACTTGATTAAAAACTTAGTTTTCCTTAGTGTTTGCTCGTTAACGATAGCCTTGCTAAGTTGTGTACGTAACTACTCGCCATGTGGTCGACGGATGACTTTTCACGAAGGAGATAAACGAGCGCGTGTACTGCGAGGTTATCAAGGTGGAAAGTGAAATTCTCGAATATGCCGCATCTCGATTAATCGCGTCTTCTCTTAAGGTCAATGACTGAAAATTGTTTTCGCAAATTGATTAATCGATACTAATCTCTCAGGGCCAGGGATCCGGCATCCTGCTCGATCCGATCGTTATACAGTGAAAACTCGATAAATGTCGCTACTCCGGGTCCGGTCAGCAACACTTACGGAATAGGAGAATCGTCTTTCGAATTTGATTGTAGTTTGCCGACGCTTCGAACGTAGAAAGAGTCAGTAGCTAAAGAAGAAAGAGAGACTGAAACTCGGATTTATCGCCCCAGTTTAAATGTCCGCGTCAGTGTGACCACACTACTGCACAGAAGAAAATTTTTTATTTTTTACTTTTTGTTAATAAAAATTTCACTATCATGTTGGGGAGATTTCTCTGATTAAAATGAGGCTAAACACGATATAAATCGGTCAATATTTGGTAGCATAATATTGAATTAAATATTGTACTTGCGAGTCTTTCTCTCTTTATTTATCCTTCTTGTGCTGTCCTTTTCTATGTTCGGAAATATCAAAGAACGACGCATCGAGGTGCTGGCTACATTTATCGAACGGGAGGTAGCTATTTTCAAACGGAACGGTTCCACCGTTTCGTAAGTGATCAAAAACTGCAACACTTATGAAATAGGGGGTTTCGTTAGCTACCACTGTTCGATAAATGTACCAATCCACTGACCTTGCGAAGATACGAGTACACAATATTTAATTCAATATTATGGTAATAAATATTGGCCAATTTATATCGTGTTTAGTCTCATTTTAATTAGAAAAATCTTCCCCACATGATAGTAAAATTTTTATTAAAAAAAAGTAAAAAATAAAAAACTTTCTTCTTGTACAGTAGTGTGGTCACACTGACAGGGACATTTAAACTAAGTGACGAAGGCAATAAAGATTTTTAAAGAAAGCCGCTACGTCTCCGGTTACACTTCGCCTCACTGGTTCAAGGGGGATCCCCCTAGTGGTGGGGATAAAAATGTATCATTTATGGAACAGCTCTTGAGGACATTTATCGAGTTTTCACTGTACTTCCTCCCGAGGACGGTGACGCAACCTATTTTCGTTCTGTAACGCAAAGGTCATTATCGTATCCGTGAGATAGAAGACGGTTAGAGGAATTAAAAATTGACATCAGGAAAATATATCGTCGATTATTTTAATGGTTTCGCTGGTACGCGAAGGCTATCGAAGCTGGCCAGTTATCGAATAAGGTTGACACAATTATAGAGCAGTTACTTGTAACGACAAAGTATAGTACCTAGAACGTCGTTGTTTACCAAACTTAATATATATTATAAAGTTTGCGTTTACGTTCGATTCATTTGTTCTGCTCGTAAATTTATCGAACAAGAAGACTGGTCAGCGGGTTTACGAATCGTTTAAAAATGATCAGAAAGCTTGGACGCTACTCTTACGCGTCTGTTTCGACGAATCACCGGGACTAAGGTCGTAAATGATAGAACGCGTCGAGGTCTTATGAAACGAGAATGTGAGAAATGGCCTACAGATGACTGGTTACAAGCTTCTCGAGAACCTCCCCGGAGCTACAAAACTATGGAAATCGTTTTTCAACGTGAAACGCAGTCTACTTTTATCGCACTACGCCCACTCGTCTAGTTACGTGGCAGCTTATTCTTTTTCTCTCGGACGTAATAACTAGAAATTCTCGTTCGAAAATCGAGTTTAATAATCAAACCAAGCTGAAGGCCAAGAAAAACAGGCTACTTTTCCTGTGTACCATACATCTACATTGGACAACGCTACCGGTCGATTTATAGCCTCTTATTTGGGGAAAGCTTTGATACTGTTCTTCGGAACGTTGCTACGCAGAATGCACGATTGCACGATATGAACTGCAATTCGTACGGAATTCCTTGAATATTCGGAACTGTTTTCAGGCGTCGTTATGCACGAATATCCGAGTGCAATATTGTTTTTTGTTTCTCGAGCGACGCAGGTTATCGTAGAGGCTGGTATCTTTATTACACCATGCTCGATGCGTAACTTATCGATGGAACGTCAAGTATGGAAAATTTAGTTCCTGTTGGATAACATCTGTGAAATTTTTTCTCGCACTTTCTCAAATTTTATGAAGATTTTATGTAACTCGCTCGAGTTGCCGTTCAGACCAGGGTCACACGAGCGTCGAAACGACGTCCGTTTTTATGTTTACTCTTGTCTTGCGATTGAAAAGAACAGAGACAGCCGTAGGAACGCCAATCTTGTCCGTCTTGGTTGTTTTAAATTGCAAGAGAAGGAAGAACATACAAACTCACGTCGTTTCGAGGATCGTGCGGCCCTAGCCTTAACTGTCAAGAAACGAACGTGTCGGCCGATACTTTTTCATTTATTCGTGATATTATTTTGTTGCCCCGAGTCGCAGCTAACGCTTCTTCGGATCGTGAAAGTCCGGCGAATCCATCAGCGTTTTGTAATCACGATTAAATCTGTCGGACTACGGAACCGAGGCTTCTCGATGGCGGAAGGAACGACAAATAGAAAGCAGATAGTGGCTGAGAAAGACGCGCTGGAGTTCCGCGGTACGAGCGTTTTTAGTCGGGAGCCAGTCGCGTGCGCGACTCCGAAACGCTATCGCCGCGGCGCGATTGATGCCCGTAGATCGCGCAGCAAGCAATTGCGATCTTTGTTGAGAAACTTACGTCTCGAACGATATCCTCGCGTTCGTCGTTGGAGGCCTCTTCCACGTTGATTCGTATTCCCGACATGATCCGGGATGCCCCTCCCTCGTGAAATCACTTAAAGGCAATTAATACACTTGCCAGATCTCTGAGCAAAACGTTGCACCTAGGAGCCCCACTGATCTCTGCTCCGTTACCACCACTCCCGCGAATGGCTGGTGGTTCCGAGCTGCACGTGTACCACAAAAAATCCACTATTCGATCACCCCCGAACAATTCCGAAATTCGATATTTCTTCTTGCGTGCTTCGTACGACTATTTTCGAGGATTAGCATACGACGGAGTTTCAGGGTACTAGATATCCGCCGGCAAGAGTTCGTTGCCCTTTCCCTCCCTTTCGGAAGCTGAGAGCAGGACGAACGAAACGGTCCCTCCAGTGTAGTCGTCACCCTGTCCGGATGTGTTTTATCGTCGCGCGTACTTTGTTCCTCGCGGTGAAATAATCGTCGACGAATTCACTGTTGAGCCGGGCGATCTTAGTGCGAAATCATAAAAAGTTGATGCGTGAATCGCGTTGCGGGAGTACCGCACGCCGTGTCGTGATCGTCTCTCTCGCACGTGTGCGACTAGAGCCGCCGCACATCTGGCCTTTGGACTGGCTGCCAGCACACAGCCAGATCGGTTTTATACCTTCGTATCTCCCACCCAGGGTGACGAGCAACCCACCGACCGACCGACCGACCGACAGACCGAGCGAGCGAGCGAGCAAACGAACGAGCAAGCGAACGAACGCACGTCGATTCTACGCGCGGCCAGCTCTCCGGCACACCACGGTCAAGAAGATCGATCTTTCCTCTTTTTTCTTACTCTCTGGACATACATGTCGGTATACGTGTACGCGTTTACCAGGAACACGCATACAGTCAGGCACGACGGGGAGGCAGAGACAGAGGCAGAGGCGGTGGCGGTGGCGGTGGCGGGTTTAGGCGCAAGGACGAGTAAAAGAATAAGGGAAGGGAACGCCGGAGCTGGTGCCCTATCTGATTCAGTTGTCGGCTCGTCCGGATCTTCATCCGCGGACAAAGTCCTCTCTCTTTTTTTCTCGCTTCCGTGTACCGGAGACAAGGAAATTGGGCCCGCCACCTTGCGCGTTCCCCTATACGCTTTCTGCGTTTCCACAATTTTAATACCCGCTTATCCTACCGAATTACATTCAATTGTTGAGCTTCTAAATATCACCCAGCCAGTTTAACTTTTAGATCTTTTAACCCGAGTATCGGAACCACGTTGGATCTTTCGCAGCGGTTTCTCCGCTTTGTTGCAAACCTGTTCCATGTTTCTGGTCGAGTATGCGTAGGGGTGGGTCTCGGAACGGCGGTCCTTTTAGTTTTACTTTCTGGATGTTTTGTTTCGATACAAAGGTATCGAGACAAAAACGAAGAGGGTTAGGTCTGGCATCCGTATCACCTTCGAAAGCTATGTATCTTCTTTGTTAACCGTCGAAAGTTTACGGCCAGTTGCTGCATGGATAATGTGCAGCATTTAAGTACAATTTCGGGAGTGAAAAATCTTTTAAACGTACAGAAGATCCGCCCTTAACGATCGAATATTTTCATCGGTGTTTAGAGACGTATTTGTCTCTGTTGCTATTGTTAATTCTTCGACGTGAAGTAACCATCGATATCGAGGTATAAAAGTTGGTTAAACGCGTAAGCGATTCCTACCGACAGATCTTGTACGATTTGTGCAATCTTCTATCAAACGAATGCTCTCCATCTAGGCTTTTGTCCATCGAAAACCCGAACGAAAATTAACAGCACTCTATTTATCTATCTTGAGAATATGTAAAGCGATTACTGCAAACGGCCATCGAGAATTACCTTCGTTTCATAATGTTCGCTGCAGTTACACGTTGCTCGTGTGGGAGGTAGATTCCCGTGCAGGTAATCCTATGTCACGATAACGTTCCATTACGACAAGATTCACGACTTGGAATCCGGGTCACGACAAAACTACCGGCGAGGATCGCGTGCCGCCTCGATACGGGAACTGGATTTACGTCTTAATATCGAGTGGGGCTACGTGCTGAAACGGTCGCATCTAACGTTGCAGCGTCCTCGGGACGGGGCGATTCATCGTGGAAGAATGTCAATCGCGTCGGTGCACTAGTCGAAAAATTACCAGGGCTCGTTCGGCTGCGTCATCCTGACTGCCAAATTACCGAAACACCGTGGCGTCACGAGAAAACACTGTTTGCGCAATGTTTGCCGATTCCATCGACTAGATTCGTAGCCTTGAGCCGGCCGGCGACGGCGACGGCTCCATCTCCGCAAAACCCTCGAACTTTAATCGCTTCTGGCCAGGTCGGGTGAATCTGGAGTGTCCGGAGTGTCCGGAGTCTGAGTCACGCGATCCAAAGGTTTTATGCGCGCGGCAAGGACAAACCGGCGTGTACGCGCACGGTTAACCGTGACGCGCGCGGGAATTAGTTCGTTGCGGCGTCCCACCTCGCGACTAAATATTCTGATCAGAAGCCGGACGACGCCGTGTTCGCTCTATTTCTGGCAAGGACTGCTCTTTACACGCAGCTTCCGCCCTGCGTTATTCGAAATCGGCGAGGCCGTGGTCTTTTAGCGTCGACGATCTCGATCATTGAAGCTAAACGCGCGCAATCCGTTCAACCTCCGGTATACCAAAGGCGAGAACGTTCCGTGGCACTTTCCAAGCATAACCGATCACGGACGTTTCGCGAAATTCGTCTTTGAAACAGAGCGTGGCGCGTGCCTTCCGGCTCGTTGCATTTCGTTCTTGTTCGCTCGATGACCTTCCACCGCGGCCAATTCTCTACATTTTTCATAATAAAGAGAAAGGCATCGCACGGTGGCGGTATATTATTGAGTAATCGTCGAGAGACAAGGCTGCGCGAATCGCGAGCGTAAAGATAATCGGTTAATTAGGAAATAATGCGTTACTTAATCGGGCACGGAGAAAGGTGTGTCGCGATCCGTCGCGATAAAGCTTTATTTTATCCGTCTTTCCGCGCTTTGTGCGTCGGGAGAAATTGTGGAAAATTTTCACGCGACCTGTCCGCCGTACTCGAACGGATACTAAGAAAATACATGTTTTTTCCGCCAAGTTCGCAGTTTCCTGCACGATTCAACCGATAAGCATTCGACGGGGGACGAGTCGCGTGTTACGCGGTAGAAGAATAATTCACCGTGCAATCTTGTTCTACGAGTTTCATCGCTGCCAATTCCCAACGATTATTCTTACTTTCGTCCCTGCCTTTCGTTACGTTCTATACGTACCTATATTACGTGTATATTTACACGTTTAAACGTAATGCTCGAGGCACCATTGTCAAAAACCATCGTCTGGGGCGATCTTCGTTTGCAGCGGTCGCCGTTTCGTTCCGGTTGTTAACGGCTAGGATACTTTACGCTTCCACACTTAATATTATAACGCGACGCTCGATAGGAGATTGGAGGTCGCTATTCTCATACGTGTCCAAGTAGATTGCTCATCCTCGTGGACGTTGGACAGTGCGGGATGCTGCCAATGAGTACCGTGGAAAATATTCCGAGGACACTGACGTCCATGCACCCTGAACATCCTGTCATTGTAGCTACGTTTATTCATGTTTTACGCGTACCTTGCAAAGCTTCTTACCTCGTTACATCGCTTTCGTGATGTTTTCGATTCGCAAATTTCAATATTTACAATATTATTTTCAGCGATATCGATTTCAGGTATAATATTCGTTTAAGCGCATTTTATAGAGGCAACAAACTCTTTCCTTTGTGTATTTCGATTGGAATACAACTTTTGCTCGACCAACCTGTACATACCGAACGTTAAAAATAACGGACATCGGTCTAACGGCTAGGTCACAATTCCTTCGTATTGGTAGGAGTCTAATCTCCTTCATTGATCGTTACTCGTGTAAATCAAATCGATTCTCAATGGTAAAAGGGCCTTGCCTGCCTGTTCCGTAAAAAAGTGTTTAGAAAGGACCGCGTAAGTAAGGAACCAGTGCTCAGAGAACAGAGTACGAGGTAGAAGATCCAAGCAATCGATCCGTTTCGACCTTGCACGCGATTCAAAATGATCGTCGGGGACGAGCGTGGAGTTTCTCGCGAGGATATACGTACACGCGCAAAGTCAAGAGCTGTCGAAAGCTTGACCTTGCACTGCCAAAAGAAGCCGAATAGAACGGTGGGCAGGAAAGAAACTCCTAAAGGGAACACGAATTAACTTCCGCAAAGTCCGACGCGGAACAAGATCTCCCCTCTACGTTGTCACGAGTAAAAGCCGGTCCAGACATTTTGTCGATATTGTTCCCTAATTTGGATAACGTAACGTAGAGGATCGCTATTTGAGAACGCGTGCAACGATCGCGTGCAAGTCATTATGAACTTTCCTTGTCGCTGTGGCTAAACCAACAGGTGACGAAACGAAACTGGGTGGGTCGCATCGTAGAGTGTAAAATGTCGATATTTCGCCATTGACAGTCGGAGTTTTAGTCAGCAGTAACTGGAAGGATGTTGTTCGGCTTTGAAGAGAACGAAATTTTCTGGCGACAACGGGCGGGCTCGGAGTATCGTGCTATCTCGTGGGTAACGCGGATATCCGCATACCTGGATCCAGACGAATATTCATATCGCCGAAGGCAAATAGAGCAACCGTGTCCCTGCCAGTCGACAGCGAGCGTTACGTACAAACAGGCGCATACACCTGCAACCACCTTCTATCGAACAGAGCCAACAGTCTAATCGTGCCTGTGTGTAGAGGTTCAGGAACGCCTCCGTGCAGACACGGGCTTCATCTACGATCAAACCACACAGATGTAAGGGTCCTCCATCGAGAAGCGAGCAAATCTGTACGCGAACGCGTTAGCGCGAGAAGCGGACCTTGTCTACGAACCCGGACGCTAACGCTCTTATGCATTACGCCAGTGCCAATTCCATCGACCGTTCATCTGACCCAGAACCGTATATCCGTGCCCGTGAACTATTCACCGACAGATAGATTCCATTCGCTAACGACTTTGAATTAATTTTCGAATCTTGTCTCGAACAGATTATGGACCAGACCACCACAGAGGTTTAATAATAATTAGGTATCGTCGAGCGTGGGACGAGCGACCAGTTACGACATATTCTTACCATTTACGATGAAATGGGAGACACCGAATCGTTCGCCTTGAATTTTTCTCGCGGTGGAAAATGTGGTTGCGCGCGGAGAAAGTTACTTCGCGCCGAGTCGCTTAATTAACCGAGAATCTATTTCGCGAACGATCGCATCACGGTGAATTAGAGAGCGTGTAGCCGAATATACACGATGTACTAAGAATCGTACCTATTTCGCTACCTTTTATTCGAGCCCTACTCTATCCATCGAATACTTTGCCTCGTTCGGGAACTTACTACCGCGTGTAATTTTGCATCTCCGCGCTTTGTCGTTGAAAATACGCGAGATAAGCATGCGGATCCACGTGAAACAATTTGCAAACATTAGTATTCGTCCGTAACGGAAAATTCCCAGGATGACAAGTTGATTCCGAAGAACGGATTTCAAAGAAACGCATGCAAAATTATTCATTCCGTAGCCTCTAATGTGGATTCCCTTTATTGAAAAACACTATCGACTGGCATAAAACCTGT